ACATACTAATAACGGCTGTTTTTCGCAGGCAATCGGCTTCTGATTAGTTGTAGTCTCGATCTGTCGAAAGTTGCTCGACCTACAGCTGCAGTCACAGTTTATGACTGCTAGGAATAACAGTAGGATGCACTTACCTCTTTTTTTCTCGTAAGTCACTTTACGAATGAGAGTATATTTTTGGTATCACGATCACTGTGCTGAAAATTTCCCAAAACAATGATAACAGAGGACGCCATCTTGAATTTTATTGGGAACTGGTTTCAGTGCTTCCCAGTTTACCCCGGTCTCAATTTAAGTTCCCGTTCCCGTTCCGGTTCCGGTTCCATTTCCGGCTCCGGTTCCGGATTCCGGATTCCGGATTCCGGATTCCTGCTTTTCCATACGCCCATTTTTCCGACAGGTGGCCCTATTTTCCCAGACAATCACACACGTAATGTTTTGCTCCCTTTTCTCAATTTGTCCTCGCTATTATGACAAAAATGGGAAACTTATGTGGAGACTGTCGTCGAAACTTAATGGTTATCTTACACAAATTGAAATTTCTAAATGGTGGTGTCATCTCTAGCCCATCACAGTTTATGTAAAAAGTGTCCGGAAATAGCGCGCGACAAAGTAGAATATTTGCAAAACCTAACAAAGCCTAATAACTTTCATGAAAAGTTATAAATGTACTGGGTTTTTTAAATAGTTCTAAGAGGAATGGGGAATAAAAACGTTGTAGCCATTTAGACGGCTATACAAAATTTTTTGACACATCACCTGCCTGCCTAGTAAAAGCCTCTCACGAGAAGCAAATATTTCATTGGTTTAAGTTGTTAAGGAGAGCGCAGTGACCTCATTTGACTTTTAAAGGAAATGAGCAATGATAGGCAATTGCGCTAATTGTGGAATCCCCGAACAAATCATTTATGTAAATTACTACTCTACTACGACACAGCTAGTTTCTGAGAAGACGCTATTGGATGAAACTAAAACTAGCAACTTTTGCTTCTTGATTGTCTACACACTACGCGTTGTCTACATTAATCGCAAAGCGGTTAAATGCAGGTTAAATTATCTTTAGATTCATATCGCTGGTTATCGTTTGCAACGCAAGCTGCAAATTCAGAAAACAAAAGCCAAAGAAAAAACGTAGTAAACGGTGTGTGAGGACGCTGCACTAGCAAAACCACCAAGGTCAGTGGGTGTGAGTTCAAATAGATGTTGTTTTAACTGAATTTAAACTGCTTACTTCTATTTCTTTACTATTGACACAGGGGCAATCGAATGAGGCCCAAAAAACAAAATTTGGTTTTGCTTCCTCTCTGGAAGTTCATAAAACCGACCACATTTGCGTCACATTAAATATGTAAAAAATGACGCAAATGCTCTACATAGTTTCCTTTGAAATTTAGTTCAAATTTTGTGACTACAACATATTTTCCTACACAAAAAGTTTAAAATAGTTGTATTTTACAATTAAAAGCA